TTAAATATGCAAATTTCATATTTGTATACCCTTTTTCGAACAATACTATAAAGTACTTACTACAGCCTATTTCATCGGAGAAATCTCCACAATTGTTCTGACCATCACAGAATAGTTTCATGTCGCTTATACAGACGGTGTTTCCACACTGATAAGAATCTGGCTCAACATCACTACATGCTACAATAAAAATGATTATATTGAATGAATTCAGGTATCTCATTAATTATTCATGCCAGACATGCTTATTTCACATTATAACCTAGCCAACATTTAAGAGAGACAAGTGTATGTAGAAATCCAATGAAAATTACTTGAGCTATAAATGCCATAAAAAATGTTGATTAAATGAGAGACACTGAGACTGGTTACCAATGACATGGCATGACATCTTGGGGATTGATAAATGAGACTTTCACAAATACCGGTAGACAATTTTGGCTCAACTAATTACCTCTGTATTAAAACAGACCAATTTTCCCAAACACTTCAACAGTGTTCATCTTAGACAGGTTTAGCTGTATGCAAGATCTCTATAAACTGAATACCTCTATAAACTTGACCATTTTTTCCAAATCCTTCAATGGTGTTCATATTTCCTTCTGTGTGCAAGATCTCTATAAACTGACCAATATTCCCAAACCTTAAAATGGTGTTCATATTAGACAGGTTTAGCTTTAAGCAAGACATCTATAAACTGACCAATTTTCCAAAATCCTTCAATGGTGTTCATCTTAGACAGGTTTAAATAATTACAAGACTGCTATAAACAGAACACCCCCCATGAACAGACCAATTTTTTCCAAATCCTCCAATGGTGTTCATATTAGACAGGTTTAGCTGTATGCAATACCTTTATAAACTGACCAATTTTCCAAAATCCTACAATGGTGTTCATATTAGACAGGTTTAGCTGTATACAATAACTCTATAAACAGATTGATTTTTCCTAACTTCAATGGTGTTCATAAGATGTGTACTGAATGCTTACATTTGTCTGTACCATCAGACAGCATCAGGAAAAATCCTTTGTCACTAACAGACCCATCACTGTTGAAAGTGATCCATATGGATTTATCATCTGATATGTATGTCCCTGGAAGTGTGGTACCAGATATGCTGTTGAGTCTCACCGATGATGGTGCCGAGCTATTGATGCCAACTCCGATGCTCACAGTGTCAAAACCCATTTCAGTTTTGAATTCAAGAAACTTCACTACAACGCTTTTTCCTCCGTCGTTACTGACAATCCACAGGCATTCCGTGTCCCCTGGGTAATAATACGGGTAGTTCGGCGAAGTGATATTTACAATTTCACCTGGACTGAAAATAATGTATTCCAGACAAGGCTCTGAAAACAATGAGATAAAAATGGTTAATGCTTATCAATAAAACATATGTCAGCGTTGTTATTGTTATGTGCAGTATGGTGTGGTCAGACTGGGTCGAAATGGGGACTAATAATGCCAAATTCTGCTAGTTCAAATATCACACTAAATTACAGAAAATTTAGATTTTCAGCATCACTGACTAAGCTATAATATAATAAATGGTATAAAAACTATTATTACACATCTGTCACAGTAACAACATTAGTTACAGCATGCCATAATTTTGCGGTATTTTACAGAGGATTTTCACGTGTAAGTGTTCTCTTATAGTAAAAACAAACATGGCTGCCACAATGGTTTGAACAGTCTCCACACAAAGTAGTTTGCTGATTCTGGTCCAAACTTTTTTGATTTCGGCATTCCCATGATGTATCCTTGGAAGGATAAGATGTATAATAATATGGTTATTACGAGGATACCTCAAAGTAGGCACTCAGACAGTACGGCGTCGCATTGACCTTCACTGCGTGTCTGTCAATACTCCAATACTGTCTTCGTGCATACTTTAAGGTATCTTTGTAATGACCTCATATTATCATGATCAATACAACTGTTAAAGAAAATTATATTCAATATTTTTATACTATAAAAGGTTCTCACCACCGCAGCCCATTTCATCTTCAGCTCCAATACAGTCATCAATGTCGTCACAAACCTTTTCTAGTAGGATACACAGTCCATTTGGACACTCGTATTTTCCTAGGCATTCTGCAAAGATGAGATTTTATAGTTAAACAGTTTCTTCCCCATCTTGGAAAACATTTAACTTGGGTATTAAAGACAGGAAATCACAATGAGTATTTGACTTGGGTATTAAGAAAGGAGATCACAATAATTTGTTGTCCCCATGAAAACTTTATGAAAATATCTAGCTGCAAAAATTAGATGGTTTAACATAGTACCTGTTCCCGTCGCCTTTGAAAACTCAACTACAAAGCCATCTTTCTGGACCTGTTCGTCTGAATGAAACGTTAACCAAACTGCATCACCAGTAGAAACAAATGTAGGTGGTTTGACATGCCCAGCGTACTTGTCTAAAACAATAGATCCTGGGTTGTAAGGGTTCCTGCCGTTCCCCATCTTAATATAATCACAACAAAGCTCAGTGTCGAAAAATGTGAATTCTACATATATCAGTGCACCAGGTTCAATTGTCACAACCCATATACAAAATAGTTCCGCATCATAGGCTCCATTTCCTCTTGGAAAGTCAACGACAGTCAGAGAGCTTGGTACATTCTCTACGACCAAATCTTCACGACACACTTCTGTGAAAATAATTATTATGAAAGAAATTTTCAATGCTAAAATTTGAAAGAAATATCAAATCATTCAGTCCAGCCATTTTAAAGATAACAAAAGTATTCACTTGATTGAGAAATCAGATTTGTAGTCGAAAATATCACTTTTTACCAAAAGTGAAATAGTCATTAAAATAAGAGAAGCAAAGATGTCATCACGAAATAAACAGAACTGAGAGAGGTCCACCTGAGGTAACCATATATCAAATATCAAAGCAATTGGACCCATGCTTTTCAAGGACAAATCTGACAAAGATTCACCCAAGTATCACGGCAATTGAGCTGGTAGTGTTCCAGAAGTTTAAAGTAGCATATTTTACTACAAATGACAAAAATATTCACTATCAGCAAACCTGAGAAAGGACCATTTGAGGTAACTATATTATGAAGGTAGAAGCCTACTCATAATTTTTGAGACAGTTGGTCATAAATCACATGACAATGTTCAGTGGTATATTGTGTAAAATCATAAAGCGTGTGTGTTAGTGTCATATTTTGAGAGATTTAATATATTTCAAAAATCGCTAGCAAAACCCCAGATTTTTAGAATAATTCAGGAAAACAAAAAGTACCCCATTATTAACAATATATTATTATTTCACCAGCATTCAATTTGAGATATGGCATAATAACTCTGTTATAGGAACCTATGGTGAAAGCACTATAATACTGCCAAAATGGCCAGTATCCACTAAAATAAAACCATAATTTTCTTGAAATTAAGCTGGTGACCCGCAACTTTTTTTTAGTCAATTTTCTTATATTGCCCAGAAGTGCAATTTATTAGAAAATGGATAAATTCTGAGTATTTGAATTCATGAATAGGTTTCTACCTTAAACACCAAAGCAATCAAACTTGTAGTTTTCAACGAGAAATCAAAAATATCACTTTTTATCAAAAATGACAATTAAAAATATCAGAATAATCTTTTATGAAGTTGACAGTGGAGCTAATAACGTTGTTTGCAATTTTACTTTAATTTTATTTAACCAAACTTGCAGAATATTACATGTAGTTGTTAATCAAAATTAATCAAATTGAACATTAAAGCCTATATTGTTTATTTTAGGAAAAAAATCAGTTGCAAATTTCACCCCTGGAAAATAATCTAATAATTCTGTGTTTTAACATAAAAACAAAACTACTACTGTGCTATATTGTGTTCCTCCTCATGGTTTTGCACCTCCCGACATCATAATTGAACTCTCCCTAATAATACACTGGTACAAGTCACTAGAACACTTACCTTCACACTCTAATTCATCACCACCATCAGGGCAATTAGCGAATGTATTGCAGACTGATGAACTGGGAATACATGTAATACCATCAGAACATTGAAAATAGGTGTCAGGACAGTAGATTTCTGAGTAACAAAGAAAATGCATACGTGACCATCATGACCAGTAAAAATGCGAGAATAATAGCAGCACTATTAAAATAAATATATAACTAAACAAGCAGCCTATCGGCTGAGATAGCTCCGCTGTTAGCAATGCACATTTTAATTAAAGAACTGAAGACATCATTAGAAAATGAACAATATGAATAGTATCAAAGCAATCGGACTTACAGTTTTTAACAAGAAGTCGAAAATATCACTTTTTACCAAAAATTACAAAAATATTCACCAAAATAAATAGAGAATTGAAGATATCATCACAAAACAAACAAATCTGAGAGAGGTCCACATGTAGTACCTATATATGTAATATCAAAGCAATCGG